CGTGTTTTAAAAAGCTTGTTTACTTTATGATAACTCTTGTATCAGTCCTCAAGAGTGTTGATAAAGCATTTTTGAAAATGTTTTGAATGTGTGGTGTGAAAAAGTTCTTTTTGAGAAAGTACCTAACAATTATCTACCTACTCGAAAAAGGTGATATTTTTCTCCTTTCTTTTAGATAGTGTTATCCTACTATTAGTGAGTAGGTAGCCCTATCGTTGGATGTTTAGGGACTATCAAATGGACGTTTACGGTCACTAAGGCAACTAGGCAATAACTTTTAGTAATTTTCCTAAAGTTCCAAGATAACTTTTTTAACCGAGGCGACGTCGAAAGGGTTATCGGGGGACTTGTGATCTCTTGAACTAAAGGACAACCACTAAAAATTCTCACGTTTTGAGAATTGTGACCGTTTCCGAAGGCAACCAAAGTGGGGGTACCCTAGAGGTGCGCATGTGCGAGTGTGTTAAGATTCAGTTATTTTTGTCTTTTTGATAGGTTAGCTAACGTTCGATTTTAATCTTTCCATACAAGCCTATATATTAATAGTAATATAGTAAAATAATAAAGCAATAAATGTGCGGAAAATAAAATGCATAAAAATGAATCCTAAGCTATTACACGACTTTGGGAGAGATACATTATAAAAATGCGGAAAGTAAAATCCTAATTATTATTACAAACCAGTAGGCAGTTACAATGATAAAAGAAATGCGAAAGTAAATCAACGTGCATGAATTGAAAATATGTCTAAAATCCTAAGTGAAAGGATTTTTTTGTTTGTTTTTGTTATGAGAAGAAATTGAATTAAAAATCCTAAGTCTATTCAATTTTAGTTTTTTAAGAAAATATTAAAATAATTAATTAATTAATTAATTGACAAAATTAATATTAATAGTAAAAACTAAAACCTAATCTTTTTTTTTGTGATTTTTTATTTTTAATGTTGATTAAAAACTAGAAGAAACAAAGTAATGAAAAAGATAAACTAAATGGAACAAGCAGTACAAAGAAAAGGGGTAATCTGCAGGATGCAGGCCTGGGTCAAAAGGCCTAAGGCTACCTTCCAATCCAAGTGAAAAGGCTGATCGAAGGTGCCTAATGATGGTACATGATATACTCCTCTGATCTGGGACATTGTATCTGCAAGCAAGTTTATTAGAAAAAACACAAAATGTATGATCTGGGTGTCGAACCCAGGTCCTTCGATTCCCTCTCTAATTCGAATCTGATGTTATTTCGTCCTACAATACCAAGAATCCTGAGATTCGAATCTGGGTTTAGATTTAATGGATCGTCACTATATCAAGTGTTTCGAGCGCATTTTCAGGTTATGCCCTAGAAATGGCAATCTGAGATTCAAGCGTTTAAGCTTGTATGCAACATGTTAAACCTGCCTTATGCAATGTCATGGACATATATATGAACACTAGATCTGTTAATAACACATATTTATCAAGATTGAAATAAAAAATAATATACCAAACGGTGATGACTGGTTATGGATCTTTTGGACGTGGAGGCGCTTGACTACGAGCCTGGTTCAACTTCTGGGAGTCTCAGGGGATGAATGGTGGACTCGATTTGGCCTGGAACTGGCTAGAGAGAGAGATTTCGAATTGCACTACTTTGAAGAAAATTGGAGCTTTTGCTAGGGTTTGTTTGAGGCAGTATATGTGTGTCCTTTTTCTCTAAGATTATGACGTTTATATAGGCAAGGGATTTTGGGTTAACATTTGTGTATCAAATCTTGGTCCATTATGATAAGGAGATTTGATTTGATTTCTTCTTAAAACTTGCTATATTTGATTCAATCAGGTGCCAATCTATTTTCATGCATTACTGGCAGCCTATTATGAGTTGTTTGGGCCTCCAATATGACGGAAATCGAAAGCTGACATGCCCCTGCAGATCCATTTCCCTTCGAAGGCTCTAAGCTCCAATTTGAATTACTCAGAGCTTTCCTCATCAGAACATTATTTCCTTCGAAAGATCTGAATTTTAATTTGAATTGCACCACCTTCATTATCATGGCTCCTTCGATTGAGCCACCCTCTGCTTCAATTGCTTGATTTGAAGAAAATCACCCTAGTCGAATCAGCTCCTGTGGAGTTAGGAACAAACAAGGAAAGAATCTGGCCCTTAACTCAGGAATTGAAGCCACGATCAAAATTGAATTCTTGCCATATTTGCAAGGAAAATATGCCATTTTGAACTTTGAGTGAACCTGGACAGGTTATGATAGGTGTTTTGTTCGAATTTGGCTTAAGGCTTTCATCATGGTTCCTTCGATTAAGTCTCAAGCTTTGCTCTCTTCGATGGCTTTGAACTTGACCAATCAAAGCATTATCTTATTGACTGGTCGAAGTGTTGTTCTTCTTTCTTTGATGGCTTTGAGTCCTGATTCGAATTGTTCAAGGCTCTCCTCATCAGAGCTTCTTCGTTTGAGCAATGGTCTGCATGAATTCACAAGGCTCAGAGTTTTCCTTATCAGAGCTCCTTCGATCAACCCTTGTTCTCTTTGATGGTTCTGAGTTCTGATTTGAAGGGTTCAGAGCTTCCCTCATTATAACATTTTAGATTAAGACACCTATGCGCTGATATGCCATTCGAAGGATACTTTGCTCTAATATGCCAATCGAAGGAAATTCTGATGTTCCAATCGAAGGACACCCTGATGTTCTAATCGAAGAACACCCTGATATTACAATCGAAGGAAGCTCTGATGTTCTAATCGAACGAAACTCTGATGTTCCAATCGAAGGACATTTCGTTTATCTTCAAATTTTACATTCCTCAAGCCAAAGTTTCAACCACCCATGTAAAAGAAAATCTTGAAAGAAAATGAGAGGGAAAATTTTGGGGTACAACACTTAGGATAATAGGAACGACTGAAGCTAGTATTGAGGATAGCTGGAAAGTGGGAAAGTGGATGGGATATGTCTTTAATAGAACTGGTTTTGTCAATTTCGAGGTCTGCATTATTAGCAGAGTCTACGACTTCAGTATTGAGAACAAATAAAGACATATGAGGCACCTTGGCGTGAGTCTGCTCAAAGGAGTTTGATACATGAGTATTGTTATCATTCTGTGAGATAATAGGTTATGGTTCAGCTGGATGACTAGGAAGACCACTAGAACTGACATGTCTAATCATAGGGACTGTAATAGTAGCTAAAGGAAGACATGTTTTGGAGAATCTTTGAGTGGAACCAGAATTAGAGGTTAATTGAGGGCATTCACCAGGAAACAAATTAGTGAAAGCAAAACTATCCTCATTGAAAGTGACATCCTTAGATATATAGATTTTTCCATTTGAGCTAAGACATTTATATCCCTTGTGTTGAGGGGATATCCCAAGATATACACACTGAGAACTTCTAAATTGCATCTTATGTTGGTTATAAGGCCTAAGTTAAGGAAAACTTGATCAACCAAAGGTTTTGAGCGATTTGTAGTTAGGATATTTTCCTTATAAAGCATGTAAAGGTGAACTGGACTCTTTTAAGGTTGTGGTAGGTAATCTGTTTATGAGGTGCATAGTTATGGTGAAACTATGTCCCAATAGGAGAGGGTAAGAGAGGCATGAGATAACATTGTCAGGCCCATTTCCATAATTTGTCTGTGTTTCCTTTCCACACTGACATTTTGATGAGAGGCATGGGGACAAGTAATCCTATGATGTATACCTAAATCAGCTAGGTATTTGGTAAATGGTGTGTACTCTGCTCTAAAATCATACTGTAAGGATTTTAGAGTTACCTGGAACTGAGTTTGGATGAATTTAAGAAAAAGTTTGAAGGCTTGTAAAGCCACAGACTTCTGTTTCAACAAATACACCTAGGTATACTTTGTGTGCCCATCTACAAACGCTATGTAGTATTTAAAGCCAGCCTTAGAGGGAAAGGGTGAGGGTCCCAACAAATAAGTATAAATGACATCAAAAGGTTTATCATACACTGTATCAGTTAAAGGAGCATTAATTTTGTGAGCTTTGCCAATGTTACAAGAAGTACATAAATCAGGGTTTTGACTATTAAGAACATAAATATTACACAATTTCAGTATTTGAGATACATATTTAATGTTTGCATGACCTAATATGTGATGCCATAACATGCTAGTATTACATCTATTACTACTAGAACTATAATAGTTTGAATTTGAGACTAAATAGCTATGAATACAAAACGTCAATTATGGAGTTTTATTCAAGCTGAAAGAGTTCATGAGATCCAAGGAATGTGTAGAAAATCAGTATAAGCCCTTGCCATCACTAGTGCCTTCAACCAATACTTGTTTAAAAGCCTGAGATTTAATGAAATATTTATCAGGCAGAAACTCAAATAGAAAATTGTTGTGACTAGAGAACTTAGACATATAGAGCAAATTTCTGGTATTAGTAGGGACTAGAAGAACTTTAGACATGCTTAACTTGAAATTAGGCATGAGCTTAGAGTAAAAATGCAAAGATCCTACAGCTTGGATAAACAGTTTTTGACCATTACCAACATACACACTATTATTTACTCTATATGATTTTTGATTTTGTAAAAACTAGTATATGGAGTTAAATGACGAGTAGCACTTGAATCTGCAAACCAGGATTGTGATTCCAATTCAGAAGGGAGAGAGTACTCTTTAGTATAAGCAGTAGTATTCTTAGTGGTAGCCATTATAGCCATGTCAGTATTGTTAGAGGTTGAGTCTTGAGTAGTACTCTGATTGGCCGTGCCATTCTTTGCGGAGCTAGACTGATTGTTTGTAGTTTTGGGTGGCTCAAAATTCTCATTGAACCGGTGCCAGCATGTGTTGACAGCATGTCCATACTTACCACATAGTTGGCATGTAGGACGATTTCCAGTAGAGAGTTTCCCTCTACCACGAGCATGACTGAGTCGACTGCTGCGGCCCTAATTGCTTGAGTAAGCTTCTCTGGAGTGAAGATTTTCTTGATTAGCTTGAGCAAGATTTGTTGCAATGGTAGTAGCCGCCAATTCTTGTCAAAACTTTTCTAGCTGAGCTTCCTGCACATACAACAATTCTTCAATATCACAAAGATTCAAGGGAACAAGACTTCCACACATCTGCACCACAAAGGGATTAGACTCCTCAGGAAGCCCTTGAAGAATCGAGTCAATTTGATCTTGTTTCGTTATTGAATCTCTAACTGCAAGAAGCGAATTGGAAATAGCTTTGATGCATAGCACATACTCAATGATAGTTTTGTTTCCATTCTTTGTGGATTTAAGCTCAACGCGTAATTGTCTCACTCGAGTCTTCATCTGCGTATTGAAATACTGATGAATCTTATCCTAGACCTTAAATGCATTCTTGCAAGCAAGAACCCTAGGTAACACTGATTCTGAGATGGTGGAAAGCAACCAGATGAAAAGAACTTGACTATACACGACCCAAGCTTCATAGTCTTCAGAAACCGTACCTCCAAGACGATCTTGTGCAGTCTTGAACTTCAACAGAATCTGCGGATTGACAACGAGCTTATGCATTTTCTGTGTGAGAATCACACCTTCCACTTGTTTATTCTAGAGTAGGTAATTATTTTCTTGCAGCTAGATTGAGAGTTTGGAACTAAATCCATTGCTGGATTTAGAAGAAGCAAACACATTGCAATATCTTGTTTGTGTGCGGTACCTCTGATACCAGATTCTTGATTGTCTCCAGTTCCATGGATGAATGCTTGAAGCTTCAAAAGGAGAAACGAAAAAAAATCAATTTGGATCAGCGGTGGAGAAGACGATGATGCAGCGAAGATGATTGAGAGATTATCGTGGGGATCGAACTGCGAATGATACCATAATGGAGATGAGTCTTTGACTCTCTTTCACACAGTAAACAAGATAAGAGAAAGGAAAATTGTATGGTGTAAAACTATTTTTATTATTAATCACAGTATTACAAGAGAGTTTACTATATATGATAAAAAGAGAAAGTACTAAGCAGTTTAACTGCCTAACAAACTATGCCACTAAGAATAAAGGCACTGTAAGCTCAAAATAATAGCAAGCTATTTTCTCTAATACTTAAATTACGAGAATGAGTAATTTTAGTTAATAATAAATAAATTAATTAATATTAATAATAACTAAATTAATTTTAATTTGGCTCAAAAAATTTCTTAAGAAACTTAACTTAAATAAGATATACTACTAATTAAAGAATAATAAGAATTAAAAATTAGTGCAATTAATTCAAAATATAACTCTAAATCTTATTTGAATAGTCTTCTCAAAAGAACATTTAAATACATATCATAAAAAACGATTTTTTTTTTTTGTAATTTGAAAATTGCCGTAATTTTAATTAAGATCAATTTAAATATGAATACATCTAATTTGATTATGTACAAATATATCTGATTTTTTTGGTTATATCGGTTGATTTAAAGATATTAATATAACCATATGTTAGATTATTTATTAAAACATAAAAAAAGTATCAGATAATTTAAATACGTGGCACAGGCCCTTATTTTATGAGATCACGTTCTAACTTTTCAAAGCCTAGTATTCACCTATTATAAACGTGAGTTAGAGACTGTCATAATCTTCTTATGCCAAATATGACCAGAGAGATATCTTCTTAGATTTAATGTGTCTTAACATACAAGGCAAGATAGGACTGGTTCTAATAAAGATGTAGATATCTTCTAAGTATACTAACCACACACGCTTCCTAGAGGGCGAGGACTTCACTTGGGTCATTATGAAGTATATTAATCAATTTTGATGTCTTCTTTGATCATTTTATTTTATGTTTGAGTTTGGGTTATTATAGATATATATTTCACAAATCTTGATTAAGGATGAATATATGTTAGTTTCTAGATTCTAGAGATAAATTTAGAGCTAATATTTATTTTGGGTGCTAAAGCTTAATGCCTCTGTATTGTTGTAGCGCGTAAGACATTGCCGATAGCGTAAAACAGTTGGTCTCGCGACTTGGCGTTAGACATAACCTTCGTTGTGGGTACATTTCGTGGTGTCCGTGATGATTTTGTCGAGTATAGTAGGTTCAGTGCAACTGATCAATAGGTTTAAGTTTGTGACGAGTAGTGTAAATTCTTGCCTGTTAGGTTTCTTCTTTCTATTTAATGTATTTATTTTCTTGTCAATAGTTTTTACCCTTTCCTTACAAACAAACCCATTTAAAACAAAACTCATAAACACGTGAATTTGTCAAATGGAAATTTAATAACCAATCTCTATGGACACGATAAATTCCGGGATAAATATTTCCAAAAAAATTTGTTGCTTGCCGCTATACCGCCTCCAACATAGACTTGGCAACTTCAGAACTTTCTTCATCATCAGAATTTCCTCCTTCAGTGCTCACTGTGTCATCAAAGTTGTTGTCCTTTTGTAGCTCCTTGATCATCTTTTCAAAAGTCAGCTTTCTTGTTGAGCTAACTTTTTAATAGAAGAGATGTCCTGGACATCTTGCTCGATATCATAATTAGAGTCAGCTTCTTCAACTAATACAACTTTCTTCTTACTTTTAGATCTCTTCACAGGAGAGATATTCTGGATATCGTTCTCATCATCATCTGAGGAGTCATCAGGTCTAACATTTCTCTTGTTGGAGGGAGGAACCACTTTACTTCCGGACTTTGGGGATCATACATGATTTTCTTCTTGATTATCTTGACAGGGGGTGTGATATTCACACCCTTCACTTTCCTGGATTTGAGCCTTTTAGCAATACCAGACACCACATTAGAAATGAGCTCATTGTTAGACAGCTCATCAACATTAACCACATTCTCAGCATTTTGACTTTCTACAGCTTTGGAGCCAGCAACATCTTCCTTAGCAGGAGAGTTCTTCTCAACATCTTGTTCAACAACAACTTCCACTTCTTTTAGAGCAGAAGTAGCAAGCTTGTCATGTTTTCTTTCAGCAGCATCTTTCTTGAAGATGGATGATTCAACAACACTTTTAGGGTCATTTCTTTGTCACCAGGAGCATGCATACGAGCAAGAGGAGTAGAAATCTTAGTCACAACAAAACCTTCATTTAACACTCTATCTACTAGCCTTATAATGCTTCTATCAACATTAACAATTTCTTCTTTTGTCCTATCATCAGTAACAGTAGAAGCATTACCTTTATCGTCTTTGGATTTCTTTGCATGTGACAATCTGGATTTCTTGACCTTCTTCTTAAGAGGTGGGAGAGTTGTTATAGGAGTAACTTCAAGTACTCTATCAAGGGAGAGTTCCTCGGGATGGTTGACAGATTTTGGGGGAGACGATGTATGATGTTGCGACATCTTTGAAGATTTATGAGCAAAGAGATGAAGAATGACACGGGTTATTTTTCTATAAAGGAGAATGAAGAGTTTGTGAAATTAGAAGGATATGATTTTGTAGCGTGTGGGAAAAACTTTAAGACAGTCTTGAAATGATTGCTTTCAAAATTTGATTTGTTGGAAACATAAATAATATAATATCACTTTAATGATATTCCCGCACACCCTTAATTGCTACAAACCCTCATATAAGCAAATCCCTAATTTTCCTCTTAAGTTCTCAAACTGATTAGCATCCAAAGTCTTAGTGAAAATGTCAGCCAGTTGTAATTTAATAGCTACATGTTCTAAGGCAACAATCTTTTCTTCAAAAAGCTCTCCTATGAAGTGATGACGAATATTAATGTGTTTGGTCCGTCTGTGTTGAATATGATTTTTTGATATATTTATGGCATTTAAATTGTCACAAAATAATATCATGATATCTTGTTTGACATTATATTTTGTTAACATTTGTTTCATCCAAATCAATTGAGAACAACTACTTCCTGCAGCAATATACTTAGCCTCAACAGTGGACAGAGACACACAATTTTGCTTCTTACTGAACAAAGATATGATATTATTTCTGAGAAAGAAACATCCTCCTGATGTACTTTCTCTATCATCAACACTTCCTGCCCAATCAGCATCACAATAACCAATTAAAGCAGAGATAGATCCATGAGAATACAACATACCATAGTCACTTGTCCCATTCACATATTTAAGAATTCTCTTCACATGGTTGGCATGACTAACTTTAGGATCAACTTGATATTTAGCACGCACCCCTACGTCAAAGGCAATGTCATGTATGCTAGCTGTGACGTACAGAAGACTTCCTATCATACTTCTGTAAAGACTTTGATCCACCCCTACTGATTTATTTTTCCATTATTAATTCTCTATTCTTCTAACCCCTTTCCTTCTTTCTTTTTCTTCAAATTAACCAAATCTTTTTCATAAAATCTAACATTCTTCACAAACATTTGTTTTTTTAATAAACTCAAATAATCTATTTTAGATTTGTTTAATTAACCCTAATTTAGTTTTAGGTTTTTACCAATAAACCCTAATTTGATTGGTTGAGGCGTTCTCGACGGGAACATGTGGGAGACTTTCCCCAACGGTTATAGCAATTTGGGCCATTATAGTGGGTCTTCTTCGCAACAGAGTTGGGATGGATCCTGCCTGACGGCAGACTAAGCGCAAGCCCAATCCAGAACACATTGACTTGGGCTCACATGATAAACAAGAAACAAAGAGCATTTCACTTCTATTTTTTTTAATTATTATTAGGAATTGTGAGAAGTAATTCATGTTTAGAAGTTGAATATTAGAAGGAATGTTCTGACTCAAAAACATAGACTTTTGAGACTGTTGTTCTAGAAATCGTGTTTAGTTTCAGGAGTCTATTTTGTTTTAGCTTTTATAGTTGTGATTACGTGGTAATTTAGTTTGTGTATTTAAACGAATTTGTAACTAGTTTTTCATAACGTGAATTTGCAAAAGTTTTTTTACAATAGAGATTTTCTCTTCAAAAATTTCTTACAACCATTTCTCTCTCTTCTCTTTCTCTATCTTCTTCCATCTTCATCTTTAAACTTATACTCCAACAAATTGATGTATAAAAATTGAAAATATATTTTCTATAAAAAAAATAAATTTCTTTTAAATCCATTTATAGATTATACCTTTGTGCATAATTAGCTAGTTGTAAGTGGATTTTGAGACATTGAATTTCCTGTATATTTAAGGTATTATCTCTATAAAGGTATTTTACAAAAATTGGTGTGAATAAGTTTATCTCCTTTTTCTATTTAATATTTCTTTTAAAGTAGAATAAAAAAAATGTAGAATAACAATAGTATTATTAGAGAACATAAAATTATAGACAGTAAACAAACGAGTAGACAAATGACCCAAGATATACCAAAAGTTATATCAACAAAACTGAAAATTAAAACTTCTG